AAGGGATGACAAGGTCGAACGGTCATAAACTACTACAAGACCGTTTCAGGCTGGACATAAGGAAGAACTTCACTGTCCAAGCCCCCAACGTCTGGAATAGCCTGCCATTGGAGGCGGTTCAAGCACCTACATTGAACACCTTCAAGAGAAAACTGGATGCTTATCTTGCTGGGATCCTATGACCCCTGATGACTTCCTGCCCCTCGGGCAGGGGGCTGGACTCAATGATCTTCCAAGGTCCCTTCCAGCCCTAATGTCTATAAAACATATGAAAACCAACATTTCAATTGTTTCTCACCAGAAAAATATGAATTATCTAAAGAGAATTATATAAATAAAGCTTGAGAGCAAATTTTGAATTCTGCTGCACTGCATCCAAATCTATAAAAGTATTTTGAGATGTAAAGATAAAACCTAAAAAGCCATAAGTACCCATTGTTATATGAAACCCATGGCCTTTTACAACCTTCTCTCCACTGCATACATTCATGGGGTCATTTTTAAAGGAGTGTTTAAAATAAATCAATAAAGGGAACAGAATTCAGCAAGTGAACTCTATGAAAGGAACATGTTCCACTATATACCCCCAATCCCACTGTAGTGCCCTAGTAGCTTAAAAGGACCATAGAAAAATGGAAGTAACCTTTGAGCTGGGTAATAGTCAGCAGAATGGCTCCACTGTAATCCCTATCGACATGCACAGGCTTTCCAGAGTTGGACCAAAACATGCTGAATTCCAGTTAGCACAACAGCCTGGGGCAGGAACATTGGGGGGGGGGGTGAGGATGGAAATCATTATCACAGCTTCAACGTTTTCTTAAATTATGCTGGAGACTGACATCGTGGTACAGGAGGCAAAGACAGTCTTACACATTTCAAATCATCTTTTACCACTTTCCTGTGATTGATATAAAGGCAAAAGGACTATTTTTTCTCTCCCACTTCTATAATCAACCACAGGAAAGCAATTACAGAGAATATGACCCTTATAGATTCATAGATTCATAGATTAAGGGTCGGAAGGGACCTAGTAGATCTTCTAGCCCGACCCCCCGCCAGGGCGGGAGAACAACAAAAACCCCAAAAAGAGAAATGGGACTCAAACGAGTCCAGCTAGGTGGGCATCCAGCCTCTTCTTAAAGACCCCCAGGGTAGGGGCCAGCACCACTTCCCTTGGAAGTTGGTTCCAGCTCCTAGCCGCCCTAACGGTGAAGTAGTTTTTGCGGATGTTCAATCTATACCTCCTCTCCAACAGCTTGTGCCCATTTCTCCTTGTTATGCCAGCGGGCGCTAGGGGAAACAGCGTCTCCCCCAAACCCCTCTGGTCCCCCCTAGTGAGTCTATAGACAGTCACCAGGTCCCCCCTTAGCCTTCTCTTGTGGAGGCTGAATAGGTTCAGGTCCCGCAGTCTCTCACTGTAGAGTCTGCCCTGTTGTCCCTGGATCATGCGGGTGGCCCTCCTCTGGACCCTCTCCATATTGTCCACATCCCTCTTGAACTGGGGCGCACAGAACTGGACACAATACTCCAGCTGTGGCCTGACCAGTGTCGCATAGAGGGGGAGGATCACCTCTTTGGCTCTACTCGAGATGCACCTGTGGATGCACGACAAGGTCCGGTTAGCCTTGCCAACCATGACCTCGCATTGTCGGCCCATGTTCATCTTGGAGTCAATAATGACTCCAAGATCCCTTTCTGCCTCCGTGCTCTCGAGTAAGGAGTTCCCCATTGTATAAGTGTGCTGCTGGTTCCTACTGCCCAAGTGCAGCACCCTGCACTTGTCCGTGTTAAAACGCATCCTGTTCCTGTTAGCCCACCCCTGTAACCTATCCAGATCCCTCTGCAATCTCTCGCTCCCTGCTAGCGTGCTCACCTCCCCCCAGATTTTGGTGTCATCAGCGAATTTAAACAGGTTACTTTCCACCCCATCATCCAGATCGCTGATGAGGAAATTGAACAGCGCAGGCCCCAGGACCGAGCCCTGGGGGACTCCGCTACCCACCTCCCCCCAGGTCGAGATACCCTTGTATCTTCCTAGACAGATTAAGGTTGGTTTTAGCAAGTCAAGTATGTGCCATTAGACTATACTGAAGAACTAACTTGATTATAGTCTAAGACGGGGGTCTGCAACCCTTTAGAGCAGTGGTTTTCAACCTGTGGTCCACAGACCCCAGTGGGTCCACAGACTACGTCTAAGGGGTCCACAAAAGGTGACCATGATCAATCAAAAGTATGTGAATACCCACCCTTACAATTCAAAGGGGTCCACAGCTTCATTTAAAATTTCTAAAGGGGTCCAAAAATGAAAAAAGGTTGAAAACCACAGGTTTAGAGTGGTGGGCCAGGTGCTTGCAACCCAGCCACTGCTGGTCCCCTGCTATTGATTCACACCCTGCTGTGCCTCCCTGGTTACCAGGTGCCAAAGGAGAACAGCAAATTTGAAAGTGAGGGCATAGAGCAGGAGACTGAGTAAGTGATTTATCAAGGCTCCTTTAAATTTGGCACCCTGCCAACCCCACAAACTAAATTAGACCTTTGTGGACTGGATCTGAACTGTGGGCTGGATGCAGTCTGAGAGCTGTAGGTTGCTGACCCCTGGTAACAAATACCATAGTTTAAATTTTAGAGCGACAGTCCTGAAACTGTTAAAGCTCAGGAAACCATTCACTTCAACGTTTAGATAACTGAAGCTGCTAACAGTCAAACTTGTACAGTGAACACATGTAGATTAAAAGAGCATATTACCTGTAAATTCTGACTGTGTATTCAAGAATGTACTCACATTTCCACAGCAACAAAATGGACTTACAGTCAGTAGTAAATTACTTAATTTTACTGTTTACAATACTTTACTGGCATCAATTTCATAACTATTTATCATAATTTACCTGAACAGTTTCTGGATGACATGAAAGAGTTTGGTTTGGAAACAGCAGGATTAGATCCATGGTTAATTCCCTTGGCTGTAAAAGATGGCTTTGACAACGATTTAGCAGGCTGACCTTCTCTGATGGGATGGTATAATGGCTGGTCAGGGACTGAATCATTTAGAGGGTTATCCCAGTCCTCATCAAAATCATCAATATCAAAATTATCAAGTTCAAAGTCTATGTCCTTTGTTGCTTCTGCATGGTCCCCTGCTCTTCCATTAGTGCCAGCAGAAAAATGATTTTGCACTTTCAAAGCAGTGCTTGTGACAGGCACCTTGGATAAATACCAGCTTGCAGTCTTTTCCATCCCTGGTTTTTCACACCAGCTACGGTTGGGAGGTGACATCTCAGTGTCAAAGCTGAGTGATGTTCTCTCTTTGCTATCTATCTTAGAAAAACAAAATCCTGCGTTTTCTCTGATGTTGGTGTTTGGTGCAATATGCTGCAAAGTTTCTGATGTATCCAAGGTATCTAGAGTGTGAAATTTTGCTGTACAGAGGAAACTTTTATTAACCGCACCAGACGGTGGAGAGGAAAATTTTGTAAATTTGAAAGAATTTCCCTGAGGGCTCAAAATGTTTTTTTGACCTAACGGAAGGAGAACGTCATCACTCATGCATTTATCATGTCCAGGACAGGGTTTCCAGTTTGAGGCAAGGAGGATATCTGCACCACTTTTGTTTGCATCTGTGCAATTAGTTAACAATTTTCTCCTGGTGAGGTGGGGAGAGGAAACAAACAAACAAAAAAGACAATGTTAAAATGACAAGTCCTACAACACAGATAAATGCTTTCTACTCTTCCTTTTTCAGAAGAAGGGTACATTGCCAAAGGGAAAAATAAAACAAAAGACTTAATTAAAATCTAAATAAACTGAGTGATTTTTTTTTTAAATATTACTAGCAGAAGTCAGTTAGTTACAATATATAGCAACATCATTTTAAATATCAAGCCAGGAAAATTCCCATCGTCTGGCGGCTAGGAACAGAACCAAAATATACAGAACTTGCCTGGAACAGTTAAGTTAAGATTTTAGAAAGGTTTGACAGTAGACTTCAATGTCTGTATGTTATGCTAGTTTTGCAAACCATGCAAAGTTTGGATAAGATATCACCTACTACATCTCCAGGTCCCTACAGCCAGGATGAGCAGTCCATTTCATGCTTTTATTGAGAAATTCACATTTACATGGGCTCTGTATTTTTAATGTGCTGTAGAGTTTTTCAAGGTCTAGCAGAGCCCTAAGAGCAGGTATCTTGCTGAATTAAACAACTGGGCATGAAGTGGGTAACAGTGCCAGAGCAGACAGCAGTTAAGTCCAAAACTCCTACTAAGAGGGAATGTAGCAGCATGCTTGCAGAAGAGTAGAAGTTAGGTGACTGAAAGCAGGGAGATTATCCTATGTCTGCCTATAAAGTCATTCTTAAGAGATTCCTCTGAAATAACTACTACCAGCCACTTGCCAAAAGACAGGCTACTGGGGTAGACAAAAGTCTAGATCTGATTTTTGAAGCCTGTTTTTACCTTCCCTAATTATTCTATCCAAAACATTAACATTTCTGTACTGGACATGTTTTCCCCCTTAGTCACACTACACCAATTAAAAGTATTTCCTGCCATCTTACCTATGTGATGGAGACACCTACAGACAAGTACCAATGCATAAATACAGAGAAACTAAAGATTTTTCATTAAAACACACCTGCAATCTCTCTGCCAAAGAAGATCATTCCCACAGGATAAAGACTTAAGTTCATGTATTGGAACGGCATCCACCAGATTACAGATATTTTTCATCACGTTATAGAGCTGCTGTTCCCAAGGTAAGCATTTATCTACAAATTAAAATACCATCCTTTAATAAAATAGGCAATGTCAAGAAACATAACTTGCATCACCCAAGAGACAGGAAAAATGTAATACATACCAGTATCAGTGTATTTTAAACATATTAGTGAGATGTCAATCAATATACGTAGATCACAAGAACATTTACCTTATTTTAAGCAAGGTTTAGATACCTGACTGTTTAAATTCAGTCCCATGTTGCATTAACAGAAATAGCTCACTTTTTTAAGCATCTTGCATTTCTTGAACTGAAAGGGGGTCATTTCTATGACCCCTGCCACCCCCAGTGCTCCTTCCTGCCCATGGCAGGGGGTCAGACTAGATGATCTGTCTAGGTCCCTTCCAACTCATTGATTCTATGATTCTATGTCTATACATGCTAATCATCATGCAGTTCTACACCCCTTATCTCATGCAGAAATTGAAAGGAAAGGAAGCACTTAAAACTCAGGTGATTTTTTTTTTTTTTGTGATCACTGATCTTGGAAAATCCATTTAACATTTTTTGGGCGCTCATCATTTCTGAAAAATCAGGTCCAAGTCATTTCAATACGGTACCAAGAAATCAAAAATCTAACTGCATAAATCTAAGGTTACCTAATACGGCAGTGGCACAGTGTGAAGGAAAACTAAGCCCCAAGTCTCCTGCCTCTTATTCCTGAGATTTCACCATCAACAAGTGCTCCTTCTGTAGGACAGCAAATGACAAACCAGGAAACACAAGGAGCTGGACACCCTTCAAGACAGATTTGACACACAAAAGTTTCAGCTGAAGCATTTATTTTACCTGCATTGTCTGTACTGGTTCCATTGCTGGGCTGTTTTGAGGTGGTTTTCTCAGGTTCTGACAGAGTGGTATTAACTGCTGGTTTTCCTTCAACAGTGGATTCTTTGAGAAAACTGCCAGCATTAAAATGAAAAGTCATTAAGACACAGATATCAATATGCCAAGTAACCAAATCAGTCAATCTTTCACCCACCCAGCTCTCAACCAGATTTTACATTTTCTGTATAAATAAAAAAATCCTTATTGCCAACTGCTAGGTTGCTATTAGCTCAAGAATGAAAGTCTTGGGAACAGCTGTCCATCCAGTCAATTTAACCACTAAGTGGAGATTTTACAAGAGTATTCTTAAAACATTCTAATGAGAAGTATTCACGGTTAGTAAGCCTTGCTTTACCTATTGTTTTTTCTAGAAGCTGAGATGCAAGACACTTCTTCTGGGGAGGGTGGAATGATATCTAGATAGTCATCATCCTCATCAATCCCAGGGGTTGCAAGCATCTCAACCCATCCTTTATCTAGTTCTTTCAGTGACTGGCTGTCCTCCTCATCCTCACCTAGAGATACTTTGCCATTATTCTGTTTTTTTCCATCAGCTGAAACAGAAAATATATTTTAATATTATTAAGCAAGATTGTAGGTTCAAATTTGGAATAAACCTAAAATTCAACTAGGAAAAGAACAAAGCAATACCACTGTGTTTCAGATAGTTTATTTAATAAGTACACACCTGAAACTTAATAAGAAGACAAACATGGTTTTACAATTTTAGCATAAGGCAACCTTTATGCAAAAATAACTGCATCACTACTGGCAATGGGAACCTGCATTACATATTATGTTGGTATACTATGAAATACTGTGTAGACAAGTCCTAAGGATATCTGTCTTATTTAAATAATTTTATCCTAAATCATTTATTGTGATTACTTCCCCTTTTCTGTGAAAATTAAACATGTATTTTTGAAGGATTTCTGAAGTACCCTCACACCTTACTAACAGTGAGACGATAATGATGTATAGTTTGTTACTTGCTAAGGAATCAATAAATTACCATCTAAGTACATATTAATTTCACAAGCGAAGAACAGGAAGATACCTCACAGCAATCGAGACACTCTAAACACAGAGAAGTTAAAGGAAACAGTAGCTTTTAAATAAGGAAATGATGCAAATATTAACAAGAATAATTCAAACTCCCAATTGATGCATTTTAAATAAAATAAAAATGATGAATAGATACAAATTAGTTTGTATTGCTCAGGACCTCTCAATATTACACTGCAATTTACTGGAAACTGAAAGCAGTCCAAGTGAATTAAAACTAGCAACCTGTGTTCAGTGAGTCCTACAGAAACCAGCATTTTAACCCACAGTACCCTAATGCTCCACACAAAGCTTTGACATTTTTGGCTCTCAGTGAGGCTTCCAGAGGTGCCCCCTTTTTTTCCCCCTCATGGAGGCTACTACAAGGACATCTTCCTACTCCAACAGCAGACACATAATGTTTATTCTTCTGTCTAGAAAGAAGAGCTCACTGTTGTGAAATTCAGAACATTTGTTTTTTTGACTAGCAGCACTTTTTACAGCAAAATCGATGCGTCACATACCTGAACTAGCTCTGCCCTTCTGAGAACTTCACTCTAATGGAGGTATTCTATTCTTCTTTGGATGTCCAGATGACCAGATTAGGTTACCCATACCCCAAAAATGCCACTTATGCACACGTTGGCATTCCGTTCCTGGGTGCATACATAACTGCTCCACCCAGAGGGATGGTGTGTGTGAACAGAGTCCTAATCTGTGCATGTGTGACACTTTGGGGATTTGGACAACTATAAAGAGAATCAAATCTGGTCACCTAGGTGTCTAGGAAAGAACAGAATGCCACCTAGTGTGGGGACATAAAAATATTCCCCTGAACTCACTCATACATTAAAAGATGACCGCTTACCTGTACAAGTGTCTTCCTTTTCGTCATCCAGAATAGTTTCTGTGGACAACTCCTCTTGAAGATCTTCACATAAAGTATTTTTATGGTTATTGGGAATCGAATCATCAGGAAGCAAATCAATGTAGATCAGTGAGCTTTTTGATAAATCTGGCAGTTTGTCACTCCGTAGTTTTACACTATTTTCAGAAGGACAAGGTTTTGAAAGCCTCTGCTCACTGCTTACAGTCCTAGATGCTCTAGATAATGTATTTGTAGGGAAATTTGATATTTGTAGAGTCTTGCTAGTTTTTACAATCTGACTCTTGGGAGATAAAACCAATGGTTTTGAGTAGTTCTTTTGCTTTGCAGATAAGTCAAAATCATCTATATCATCCCAATCATCTTCTATGGTAATAACAGAATCAGCTGAACAGTTGTAGTCTACTTTCTGAGAGGGTGTGTCACAGGGCTCATTGCTTACATTCTTCTTTGCTGGAGCTGGCAAATCATTTGAAATTTGTTGAAGACATCCTAGTGAAGTTGTTGATACTTGGTCTTCACAAAGTTGTTGTATTTCCTGTTGCTTGGATGCTTGCACAAAAAAAGCATTGGTTTTTATCTGTTTATCCTTGGATGCAGGAAGAGATGCAATAGGTTTATTCAAGGAAGTATTGACATCCTTCTCTTTTAATGCAGAAACATTCGTTGCACTGGAAAAGCTGACAGATACAGCATTACCGAGAGTTCTCTTTTTGAAAGTGAAACCACTGAAATAAAAGATAATGGGATATATTATTTCATATAAAATATGCATATTTTTTCAAAAATTAGGAAGAAAGGTACATTTCTGACACCAAAAATAGTTCACCAACATTGGAGGACAGAAGTTTACTTAAAATAATTGAAAGTTATATATGCACAGCACAACGTGACTTAATTTGTATACTCATTCAGAAAAAAATTGCTGTCCATATTGAATACTGCATAATGCACCCCATCTCACATGGTGTTCTGGTTTTTAATGGTTAACAATGGTCACTGAATTTTGTATAAATCATCTTCATGGACATAAGTCATAATTTATGGAATGCAAGATGCATCTCAAGTTATTTTGGCTAAGTCTTCAAAGGTGCTGAACAAGCATTGCTCAGACAGACTTTGATAGCATTAAGTTTTCAAAACCTCTGAAAAAACCCAAAAAACACAGGTCTGTAGTAACTAAGTGATATATTTTTTACTTTCGGCATATCTTAGACTAAGATTATAATTCATACTCTGATACTCGGAATAGTGTGATCCACATATCCCCACGACACATGATCTAGACTCCTTCCTGTTAGCATAAAAACATTTTACTCTCTAGTTTAATTTTTTGGCAGTTAGTTTAGGCTGGCAGATCATAAACCAAATTTAGAAACACTGGCTGCTACAGTACTTTTTCTGCACCATTTTTAATGAAGAACAGCAAAGCAGACTGATGGATACTCACGCTGGTTTGTGTTTTGGAAGACTTAGTTTACTGCAAGCCCCTTTTGCTGAATGAAGCTCTAACTGCTTCTGGAGGTTGTTTTGGGGAATAGTAGCCATACTATCAATAAACAAAGACAAAAAAGGCACTAAATAAAGAAATCAATGGATACACACTTGATAAAGACACACAAAGAGCATATTAACAATCTTTACAAACTGAAAATACTTTTGTACTGTAAGAGGACAAATTCAGTCATCATACTACTATGAAAGGTTAACAAAGGCTGACATTAAGAGGAGCATGAATATCATCTCAAATCAAATGGGAGGCATAAGAACCAGTAACAACTGTAAGAAATTAAATCCTTTGTTAAAATTCCTAGCACTAACATTTCTTGAGTACAGATTCACAGAAGTTTAGGGCTGGAAGGGACCTAGTGAGATCATTGGGTCCAGCCCCCTTGCTCTGGGCAGGAAAGACTGCTGAGGTCAAATAACCCCAGCAAGATGCATGTCCAGTCTCCTTTTGAAGATCTCCTGTACCACTCCGCTAAGAGTCAATTCCAGTCTGGTCATATGAGCCGTGAAGTTTTCCACAAACCGTGAAGTACAAGAGGCAAGAATTTTTGCGGGCAATACCTTTTACTGGAAAAACTGCATGACTGGAATAGATGCAGGCAAGCTTTCGGTATTGTAGCACCCTTCCTCAAGCCTCTGGGAGAGAAGCAGAGAGCGAAATATCTGCTTCTCTCCCAGAGCCTGAAAAGGTCCTGTAACACCCAAAAGCTTGCTTATGTTTATCCCAACCATACAATCAGTCCAGTAAAAGATAAAGCCCACAAGAATGTTTACCTCTTGCATAACTCCTGGACTATCACAGCTACATCACCTTAAACTGATTATTAGAGTCCAGAAGTATACCTAACAACCTCAGATGGAGCGATCACTTTCAAAATAAGAACATGGTGCAGGGGACTGGACCTGATGATCTTCCGAGGTCCCTTCCAGCCTTACAATCTGTGAATCTATGCAAGACACATACGCATTAGGCTAATTCAAGAACAGACAAAGATTTGCAAAGGAAAAGGTGTTTGCAAATTTTCAGGTACGAAGGACTCTTTTGAGACAAGAGGTGCTGCATAGATCCAAGCTGTTACGTCACCCATTTCCAATGAGAGACATAGCTACTGAGAAATACAGGGAACCCCTGCTTAGTGCTCTGAATTGGTTCCTGAAGAACCAAGTGAAACCAGAAGTATCTGAGGACCTGAGATGGCAATTGCAATTGTTTTTAATGATCCAAAATGGCGACCACAAGCGTTATAATGAAACTTGCTGAGTGCAAAGTGAAATCAGGTCTCAATTTAAAATGAGCATTACAGCAAAATAGTGCCAAGTGAAACAGCGTTCAGCGGGGGGTTGCCTGTACAGCAGACAAAGCTGCCACAATCCATGCTCAGACCGGCCCAATTTATACACACAGGTACTCCTCGCTTAACGTAGTTTTGTTATTACATCGCTGATCTATTAGAGTATACAGGCGATTTAGCACTGTTGTGCTATAACGCTCATTTTAAATTGGGAACCGATTTCACTTAGCGCTCAGTGCATTTCGCTATAACACTTGCAGTTGCCACCTCGGGTCATCAAATACTTTCAGTTTCACTTCACACTCGTTTCACTTAATGCTCAGTCTTTCAGGAACCCATTTGGAGCGCTAACAGAGGTTGTCCGTACAGGCAGTCAGTCCTCGACTTACAACGTTTTGCATTTACGTTTCTAAATTGACACCCTGTTTCAATTTTATGATGTCAGTTTTGACTTTACAACACTCAATCCAATGTGACGCCACGTCAGTGAAAAAGTTCACTGCGTTGCTCATCTCTCGTCTGTCCAAACTTCCTTGGACACTTTAAGAAAGCAGACATGACTCCAGAAAAACCTGCAGACAAGACTCCAGCCAAGAGCCCTTCAAAACATCCAACAGTCACCTCAAATAAGTCCTTCCAAATCAATACTACTGCTATTTACAATATAAATACATTAATGTAGCTGTATTACTCCTCTATAATTGATCAAGTACAAAATCCTAGGTTATTTTTGGTGAAAATAGAGTATCGGGCTTTTGTTCAGGAACTGATCCCCCATTTATAACATTGTTTCCTATGGAAAAACCGGTCCGAGTTGCACTGTTTCCACTTAAGATGCCATTTTCAGGAACCAATGGTACTGTAAGTCCGAGGGCTGCCCGTAACGCTCGTTTTAAATCGAGACCCAATTTCACTTAGCGCTCTGCACATTTCGCTATGATGCTCGTGGCCGCTGCACCAGGTCATTCAAAACTGTCGCGACTGCCACCTCGGGTCAGCAAATGCTTCCGGCTTCGCTGAACGCTAGGTTTTGCAGGAACCCGTTGAGGGGTTGCCCGCACTCGGTTAAATTCGCACCACGCTTGGTTACGACTTGTCCGGCCGCCACCGATGGTGAGGGAATTGGGGTCGTGTAACATCGTTGCATTTAATTTTTCAATGTCAACGTGAAGCAGGGCACAGCTGCAGTCGGGTCGACCTTTTTTTAGGTTCGAGGCAGCCCGCGGAAATCGCCGGATCGGAGCTTTCCCTCCATTTTTGACAAGGGAGGGAAAATACGGGGAGCTCGGGGAGGCCACAGCCTGTCGAGAAATCCCCGCGAGCCGGTGCTCCCGTGACCCCGCGATTCCCCGCCGCGCTGCGGCACCCCACGGGTGCTGCCAGCTCGGGTCCCCTCACCTGCCCCGGCTCCACGCCGCCCCGGCTCATCCCGGAAGCTGCCTCAGCCCCACCACTGGCGCCTTTGGCGCGCGCCCTTCTCCTCCGCCTCACCATTGGTTGAGCCTAGGGGAAGTGACGACAGCTTCCGCTTCCGGCCGCACAACCTACCTGGAACCGCGGAGCGAACCATTCTCCGGTGGCATGGGGGG